AAGCAGTGCGAACACAACTTGTCGACAGTTTGTGAACAGGTATAACAACTTGCTTGCATACGGTGCGTTTTTACGTGTGTATATAGCAATTTGAGAAGTCTGCAGTGTCACTGTCTTCTCAAATATTCATTGACTCTTCGTTGACTTTATGTGTGTGTGTTCGCAAACAGCTGAATTTGTTTTTACTGTGATATACTGCAATTACATGATGTCTTAGTGAACATAAATAATGACTTGATTATTAAATATGAGTTGAAAATGTAAATTAAATTATCAATAAATATGAATGAAATACCGAGTTTTTTTCACACAATAGAATGCAATAGAATTCTTGGGTTTCAATCACGTGACTGCCTTAGTGCGACCCATGTCTGATCACGTGATGCTTTAGCATAATTTTACTGAAGTGGGGGTCTGCAACAACAAAGAGACAAAATGGCTGTCAGCGCCTCTCCGGCCTTTTTAAAAGCCAATCGATAAAACAATATAAAAGCCGCCCTTGTCCATAGCCTATCGAAGAGAAGATGGCTGTGAAACTCATTAGAATAACAATATAACTCATTATCTATGTTAGTCAACGTTTATTCATAAATCTGGTCGTTTCACCGTCACGTGTGTATTGTATTTTTACCAAATCCACCAATAGCAATTTCCAGTTTTAATAGCAATTTCCAGAGTCACGGATAGGTGACTTTCCTAAAACATTGCTATTGGTTAGTTGGGCAAAAATACAATACACACGTGACGGTGAAGGACCAGATTTATGAACAGTAAACGTTGACCAACATAGATAATGAGTTATATTGTTATTCTAATGAGTTTCACAGCCATCTTCCCTTGGATAGGCTATGCCTTGACACAGACCCTTGATCCCTACTTGAGTGGTTGTGACGACATATGAAACTCGAGAATACAATAGCATGTAATAAAACACAATAGAATACAATAGATGACGCGTTACGTGATAATTTTATTCCATATCACGTGATCACAATCCAGCAATTGAATGACCAGAATTTAATGAGCCTTCAACCCTTTCAAATTCAAATCAGCTATAACGTATTGTAGTAATTTGACAGCTCTAATTGCCTTGAATTAATGGTTGGGTAAGAACACAAGGACTACAAGTCTACAATAACTACAGAGAGTCTGAATTGACTTAACCATTGTTTCACTGTAGTTATTTTATAAAACAATTACCGAACGGTTAGTTTTTCGTGCAGTATAGCGGTGATCCATGCACTTGGGATGTTTCTCGACTTTCGGAAAGCGTAGAATTGGGATGTTTCTCGCCTGGCGACTCGAGCTTTTTTACGCTTTCCGAAAGTCTCGAAACATCCCGCGTGAATGGATCACGCAATCCTGCACGGAAAACCATTCGGTATTCCTTTAGTACATTGCTGTACCAGCACAGCACAGTACAGTACAATACATTACTGTACCAGTACAATAGAATACAGTATAGTACATGATCAATACATTACTGTACCAGACAGTACAATACAATACCATTACTGTACCAGCACTGTACAATACAATACTGTACCAGCACAGTACCATACAGTACAATACCATTACTTCACAAGCACAGCACAATATAATGCATTACTGTACCATCACAGTACAATACAATACATTACTGTATCAGCACAGTACAGTACAATACAGTACATATTACTGTACTTATTCTCTAGTGCATGACAAGACTGTCTCGCTTTTGTGCCAGAGCAGGGAAAACGTCCAAAAATAACGAGCACAAACCAAGATTGCGCTATAATATAACTAAACTTTGAAAGTCATATTTGTTACAACGTGAATCGAATTTTTTAGTGGATTATTCGTATCGTCTAGCGACGGGACATTTAATTAAGAAATGTATTGTTTCGACGTTTATACGATTTAATTTGCGTAATCAAACAATGTTTTAATCACCAAGTTTTATTTCATTCGTTTAATGTTCTCTTCGTTGCTAATGCCTTAATATTGTTCGAAGTTCTAAAGATACATTTTTCATTGTTAACTATACTGACGATATGCTATTTCTTAACTGATCCACTGCTTTTGGGAACTATACCAACGACAGTGGATCATTCCCAAAGCAAAGAAGATGCAGGTATTGTTTGGTTTTGGAGTCTTTAAATTAAGGACATTTTAATCAGGATGGTTAGTCTTTGTTTTTGTGCATTGAGGAGATTTAGAAACAGCGTGATACAAACTTCCGCGTGCGAGCGTGGGTAATGATCATATAACACCAGAAAGCTACAGATTGAGAAGAATTTAACAACTTGAAAATACAAATAAAACGTCGACGTTTCCGAGCGAATACCCGTTGTTAGCGACTAATTCCACGTCGACGTTTTACTTGTATTTTTGAGGTAGTTGAACCCTCTCACTTAAACAGTGGGATATCCCATAAATAATACCCATACAGTTTAAAATATCCCGATACCTTGGGCCTAGGAACAATTTGTCAGTACAATTATACGATACTTGACATTTAACATGCACAAGTACTAATAATATAGACAAAAGCGTTGGCCTGGATGTTTTATAATTTAGACACAATCTTGAATAGTTGAATTTTTCAACCGTTTGTCGGTTTGGTGGGTCGTATTGACTGGTGAATGCAATGATTTCACTGTTTTACATTGACATATGTCGTCGTAAAAATTAATTTTTGAACAACAAGAAAATTGGGTGTGCTTTTCAGACGTTAACATACTTAATTTTCATCAAAGTGTATTGTTTTAAATATCTAAATTTAAGCTAGTAAAGATATGGTATACCGATCTTACATTGCTTAAGACGAAAAATTCAATCAATTTGACCATCTCACGCCCAAGACTCAAGGGATTTCTAAGATAAATTGTATTTCGTTGATTGAACTCGTCAAATGAAAATTTCACAATAATTTGTCACTGAAGAGGAAACAGCTGTTTTCATTATCAAACAATACGGCTTCATCAACTATATTGATTTGGCAGTTTGTTCTCTAATTGTACAGGTAATTTTATGTTATATGCGCGGTACTGTCTATGAAAATATTTTTAACATATAGTAGGAAATGTATATTGCATATATATGAGAAGAGTGCTTCTATGGTAACATAAATCTGATAGAGCTACCCAGAATAAATAAAGTTAGCTTAGCAGTTTAGGTTTCCTCCTGTAGTATAACACTGGATCAATAAGGGATGATCTTTACTGGACCTCTAGGGAGGACACTTTAGAACTGATAGAGCTATCCAGTATAAATTACGTTAGTTTAGTTGAGATTTCCTCCTGTAGTAAACACTGCAGGATCAATAAGTGATGGTCCTTACTGGACCTCTAGGGAGAACAGTTTAGAACTGATAGAACTATCCAGTATAAATGAAGTTAGTTTAGTTTAGGTTTGCTCCTGTAGTAACACTGGATCAATAAGAGATGATCCTTACTGGATCTCTAGGAAGAACAGTTTAGAACTGATAGAGTTCTCCAGTATAAATAAGTTAGTTTAGTTTAGGTTTCCTCCTAGCTGTAGTAACACTGGAAAAATAAAACATGATCCTTACTGCATGGGCCTCTAGGGAGAACAGTATAGAACTGATAGAGCTATCCAGTATAAATAAAGTTAGTTTAGGTTTCCTCCCGTAGTAACAGTGGAAAAATAGAACATGGTCCTTACTGGATCTCTAGGGAGAACAGTTTAGAACTGATAGAGATATCCAGTATAAATAAAGTTAGTTTAGTTTATAGATTTCCTCCTGTAGTAACACTGGATCAATAAGGGTTATCCTTACTGGACCTCTAGGAAGAACAGTTATTGCCTTAATTGTTTAACGTATCTGTAATGAAAATATATACTTATAAAATTATTTAGAATGGTAGAATCACTCAAGCTTCGTTGCTACAGTTTCCAGCGAGGATTCCAAATGGATTGCTATTTCTGATGTTGTTAGCACTAAGCGATGCGACGTGCAAGTCCTCACTTTTCAAAATGTACAGCGATCGTTATCTTCCAAATCACGTGATCAAAACGGTTCTAGTGACGTCACAATTTGAATGCTCAATGACTTGCTCGCGGCATGATGCGTGTGAATCGTGGAATTTGTATGAGACCGCGCAGTTAGGTCTAACATGTGAACTGAATAGCGCCACTACAGTCTTGGAAAATAGTTTACCAAGGAGAGATGGAGCAATATTTGGTCGTCGGCTTGATATTGATTCTGACAAGGTATGAGTGACTGCCGAAATACAAACATACTAGTGATTAGACAATGGGTCGGTCCTGGCCCAACCCAATGTTATGCATGGTTGCCTGCCTGCCTACCTGCGCGCGGGCAAGGCATTGTATAGTTGTATTATTTACAATTACCATAACTGATTGGGCTGCCTATGGTCCTGGTCCTCAATAACTTGTCTTCTAGGGAGAACAATTTAAGCAGAGTAGTTCTGTCAGTTATGAATTGTTCTTCCTAGAAAGATAGTTAATATAATGATGGAAACAAGATGCGGTACAGTCCGTATGTAAACAAAGGCTTTGTTTACATTTCGGTATGCAAAATATTGAATTTTATTCGACAACTATTTATATTTTCATGATTCTAGAGTATAATAAATTATCAAGAGACAACAATCAAGCTTTGCAAGAACATAAAATGAAATAAAAACCTAAATTAACGGTTTGTAAATAAAAAAGAGGGCTCCTTTGTGCAAATGCGCAGATCGGATTGTACCGCATCTTTCGGTTGTTCTGGGATTAGATGCACACGAAGACAGCCTTGGTTCCCGAGTTTTCACTTCATAAAAGTTGCTTTCTTTTACGGGTTTAGGCAAGCCACGAGCCACCGGATAAGAAGATAGAGAAGAAGATAAGTAAGTTTTGTCAAGTTTTGAATGAAATGCAGCTAAGATTACGATTATAAGATAAACATTTTTTCTATATTGAAAATGTTTACATGTAGATATGATAATGCGCTTTACATCAAGTATTATATGCGGCTTACCTAATTACATACTTAGCCTAGACTATTTTAGTATTTTTATCTTTACAACACTACAACTGTGTTTAACACTACAACTGTGTTTAGCCAAGGATTGTACCTTGCGCGCGGGACGCCTCCTTTTAAATGGAGGCGTCCCGCAAGGTACAATCCTTGGCCCATTACTCTTCCTCATCATGGTCAACGATTTGGCTATTAACCACAAAGATAGATGGAAATATGTTGACGACACTAGTCTCTCCGAAACAATCGGTAAAGGTTGTCAAAG